CTCTGTAGGGCGGCATGCTCGCTCTACTCGGGGCCCCGCGCGGTGTCCTTCAACGGCTGCGTCTCCGTCGTTTTCCACGCCTCAGGCACGGTGCTGGCGGGCTGTTCGCTCGCGGCGAGCCTGGCGAGGGTGCTGCTGTTCCGCCTGCTCACCAAGGTCGAGAGCGAGCACCCCACGGCGATGGTGAGGAATGTGATAGACGACATCAGCGTGCAGTCAGTCGGCACGAGCCTCCACGTCGTCAGGGAGTTGGGCGGCGTTGGGAGCAAGCTGATCGAAGGCTTGCGCAGCTTGCGTCTGGTGCTGTCGGAGAAAAAATCACAGGTGCTTGCATCGTCGAAAGGGGTCGCAGAGGGCCTTGCCTGTGCGTGGAAGGCGTCGTTCAGGAAAAAGGCGGCGATTCGGAGTCTGGGGACGGATTGGCAGGTGAGCTCTTCCAGGTTGGCCCCCATTGCCTCCACCAGAGTTAGGACTTGTTTGCGAAGATCGACGCGCCTCCGCTCTCTGAGGCGCGCTGGGGCCTATGTGGGGCACATCCAGAGAGCGGGTCCCCAGGCCTCTGCGTTGTGGGGGGCCTCGGTCAGAGGGCTCCCGTGGTCGCAGTTAAACAGGATCCGCACTCAGGCCCTCCTCTCTCTGGCTCCTGCTAAGAAGGGGGCGTCTATGGGTTTGAAACTCCGCACTTTTAAGCAGGGTAAAACCATGGACCCCGTTCCTTTGTACTTCAAGCAGGTTGTTTTTGAATGGGCTCGGGCTGTCTGGGATGGACTCCCCAGCTTAATGGTCTTGCAGGCAGTTTTCGAGGACGCTGTTCGCTCGCTTGCCAACACCAGTCGCCCGTGGTCGAGGGCTACGTCCCCTGCTCACGTCTTTGTGATTGCTTGTGGGGATCTGGGATGGGAAGCGAGATCAGCGCGCCTCATTGTTCTCTCGACGGGCGAGCAGATTGACCTGCTCAGGCTCTCGCCGTCGGTGGTAGCCACTCTTGCCCAGCAGGCTGCCAGAGAGATGTCGGATTTTCGTGCCCTTGAGGCTCGGGCGGGGTCGTCGTCGTGGTGTCGGCCTGTGTTCTGGCAGCCGCTGGACTCTCTGTTCGCCAGGAAAAGTGATTCCTGGGACAGGACCCATAAGAACTCTCTTAGGGCCGCGGTCTCGGGAACTCACTGGACCCAGGACCGTCTGCAACGGCATGGATTGGCGTCGTGCAATCTGTGCAGGCTTTGCATGGGGGCCCCAGGGACCACGTTCCACCGTAGATTTGTTTGTGAAGCTTGGGCTGCTGATCGCTCTCATTTCTTGTCGGATGAAGCGTTAAAAGCAGTCAAGCTAATTCGGCGGCTAGTTGACCCTGGGGAGTTTTTTGCTTCGGGCATTTTCCCGTCTCCCAGGGAGCTGGCCCCCCCGCCCCTCAGGTCCGAAATGTGCCAGGTCTTCTGGATTCGAAGGCCCGAGGACGGCCTCTTGTCTGGCAAACTGTTTACCGATGGCTCTGCCATTTTCCCCTCGGACCCGCTCCTAAGGAGAGCGGGTTGGGCGGTGATCTCGGTCGACGACACTGGTGCCATGATCTCTGGAGCCTTCGGCCCCGTCCCGTGGGATGCTGCCCCTCTCCAGCTCGCCAAGGATGGCGAAGATTATGCGTATCAGATGCTCGGCCAGATCGCTATGAACCCCGAGGGGGTGTGGACTGATTGTGCGGCTACGATTGCCTGTGTGCGGTCCAGAGTTCGCTCCACGAGTGCACGTTGTGGCCAGGCTCACATGTGGACCTCAGTGCATGCGGCCTTCGAGGGTGGGCTGGTCGTCCACAAAACGAAGGCCCACTGCACGGAGGCGGACATGGAGCGAGGGGTAACCACTCGGTGGGAGCGCAAGGCTAACGCCATTGCCGACGCCCTCGCCAAGCGAGGGGCAGGGATGCACCCTTCGGTCGATCAGGCCGCCCGTGAAATCGCTGGTTTAAGTCTCCTTGGGCGGGAGTTGGGCCAGTGGGTCGGGCGGCAAGGAATTCTTATGCGGGAGCGGGGATGGGCGGACTCGGAGGGCTTGCCTGATAAGCGCTTGGTGCCTGGCTCGGGACCTCGCCAGGGCCGCGCCTTTGAGCGCCCCATCCCCCCCGTGTCTGTGCGTTTCAGAGCAGTTTTGTCCGCCACAGCCCATTCGGGGCCGTGCGATCCTGAGCTCGCAATTTGCATGAGGCTGTCTCGGCATAACTTGCGAGTCTGCCATGTTTTCGATCAGACGGGGGCCTCCGTTGTCTCCGCCCCACGTATTGTGTGTTGTATCTCGTGCGGTGCTTACGCGTGGGGCGGGGTCAGGGAGCTTGCCGTTCGAGAGTGTCATGGTCACAATGCGGGGAAGGGGCTCAAGCAGCAGCGTTCTCGTTTGTTTGCGGGTCTCTTTCCCAGGTGGCTGAATAAGTACAAAGGCTGGAGTGTTAGTTGTCTCGAGCGCCCCGTCCCAGGTGATCTCCTGGACTTGGCTCGGGCGATACTCGACCGTCCCCAGGCTCGGGGGCCGGCGCCTGTCGCCCGAGCCGTCTTCCCCAGGGGACCGCCTTGGCAGGTGCCCATGGGGCGGGGCCCTCTCCTCGCCCGCTACGGCCTCACGGTGGACTCGCTCCCGTTCTGGGAGCAGGAGGCCGCCCGCAGGAGCGCGGGGGAGGATGAGGATTTGGTTTAATGTGTCTCCGTTTTTATCGCAGCGGTCGGTATCTTGGACGCCGCCCGCCCTCGTTTTATCTTATCTTACCTCCTCCTCCTGCGAAGGCCGCGGCGCGGGTCCCTTTGCCGCCGCGCCCGCGCTTGCGCCCGCTCTGAGCTCCAGGAGCATCGCGACGACACCTCCCGAGCGGGGTGCGGGCAAGCCCGGACCCCGCTCGGCTAGTCGTCCAACTCCTCCAGCTCAGTCAGCGAGCGGCGCCCCGGCGCCTCTGTCCAGTCAGGTCTCCTCCTCCTCCTCCTCCTCCTCCTCCTCCTCCTCCTCCATGTCCTCCTCCTCCTCCTCCTCCTCCTTCTTGTCCTCCTCCTCCTCCTCCTCCTTCTTGTCCTCCTCCTCCTCCTCCTCCTCTCCCTCCTCATCGGGGAGCAGGTTTGATGACCTCGCAAAAGCATGCACGCACGGCATCGGCACGGGCGCAAGGAGTGGACGCCCGAGCGAGGTTGTGGGTTGGGGCGCTCGCCTTTCGCTGCGGGGGGGCCCCACCAGCAGTGAAGACAACACGTCCCTTCGCTTCGCCCTAGGCTCCCTCGGCACCTTCGCCGCCCGCGGAGCCCGCTGCTCTCGGGGCAGGGTGGGGCCGGGGGGGGGCTCGGCCCGCTCGCGGTTGAGTATGGATTCAACAGGCTTGCAGTCGGACCGGGGTGTAAGATCGAGGCTGGTTAGGGGAGGGTGCCATCATGTTCTTCGTGCTTGTTGGATGTTCTTGTGCCTTCTGGGGGCGGGTACCCTCGAATGCCTTCCATTTTGGCGGGCGGAGGGTCTCATGTTCTTCTTGGGGGATGTTCTTCTGGTTTCGGTCCGACTGTAATCTCAACAGGCGTACGCCACTCCGCCCCCTAGGAGAGGGAAGAGTCCACTGGCCATGCCGTCTGGGGCCTCTTGGGGACCGTCTGGGGGCCTTTGGGGGGCATCTTGGGACCTCGTCGGGCCTCCTGCGAGTCTTGGGCGCGCACTGGCGGCATCGAGGGGTCCTCTTGGGACGCAGGGCTCGGAACGTCAGTTCGAGATGCCTCTCATGGGCCACTCTTGGGGCACCGTTGGGACCTTCTTGGGCCATCTTGAGCGCTATCGTGCAGGCCCCTTGTATCATTGCTCTCCTCCAATTGCCTTTCCACCTCCATGTGTCCGTCGTCGCTCATCTTGCTCCTGCTCCTGCTAGAGGGGTGGCGGCGATACCCATCCTACCTCATTGCTCCTCTCTTGTCTGTTACTTCTCCCTCATCCCTCATCATATAATTGTTTTTCCTCCCGCTACCTTCCTCTTCCTCCTCTTCCATCCTCCGCCTCCCTTCACTATTTCCCATCCTTTCCCTCTTCTTCTTCTTCTTCTTCTTCTTCTTCTTTGTCTTCTTCTTCTTCTTATTCCCTCCTCCTCCATCCCTCCTCCTCTCCTTCTCCTCCTTCTCCCCCCCCCACCCCAAACCCTCCAGCCCTCGTCCCTCGTCCCTTCTCCCTCCCACCCAGCCCGAATCCGCTCAAAACGAACCGTCTCCTCCATCTCCCCCCCCCTCTCAGGCAGCACACCAGCCAACGGTTCCAAGCTCTGTGCGGCCGCGGCGAAGGCCCACATCAACAAGGGACGGCAGAGGAGGAGGATGAGGAGGAGGAGGAGGAGGAAGAAGGAGAGGAGCTTCCTTCCTCAACGCTCCTCCTCCTCCTCCTCCTCCTCCTCCTCCTTCTCCTCATCATCATCATCATCATCATCATCATCAGCATCATCAGCATCACCATCACCATCAGCATCAGCATCAGTATCATCAGCCTCATCCTCCTCATTAATATCATTCTCATCATCAGCATCAGCACCATCATCCTCATCGTCACCATTACCATCACCACCATCATCATCATCATCATCATCATAATCATCATCATCACCATCATCATCAACATCAACATCATCATCATCGTCATCATCATCATCGTCATCATCATCAGCATCCTATTCCTCCTTTTCATCATCATCGTCATCATCATCGTCATCGTCATCCTCATAAACAGTATCATTGTCATCTCTCTTGATCCGCCTCCCTCTCTCCTTCTGCTTCCTACTTATCCTTATTTCGTGTCCATCTTTCTCCCTGCCCCACCAACAGCAGGGACGCAGGCGATGACAAGGACGATACGAATACGAAGTCGACGACGAGGAGGAGGGAGAAGGCGAAGACGGCAACGACGAGGAAGGCTGAGATGACGACGACAGCACCGACGACGATGATGACGCTGACGATGACGACGGCGACGACGACGACGACGACGACGACGAGCGCCTCCCCGAGGTGCGCGACCGCCGGGCCCCGGAGGCCCACGGGCCCCCGAGGCCCCGCGGGTGGCGCGCCGCCGCACCGCACGAGAGCCCCAGGCGCCGCCGCCCCCGGTCCGGCGGCCTGGGCCGCCGCCGCCGCCGCTGCTCCTCCTCCTCCTCCTCATCCTCCTCCTCCCTGCTCCTCCTCCTCCGCCTCCTCCTCCGCCTCCTTCTCCTCCGCCTCCTCCTCCTCCTCCTGCTTCCCCACCGCCTTCTTCTTTTTCTTCTCCTCCCCCTCCTCCTCCTCCTCCTCCTCCTCCTCCTCCTCCTCCTCTTCCTCCTCCTCTCCTCCTCCTCCTCCTCCTCCTCCTCCTTCTCCTCCTCCTCCTCCTCCTCTTCCCCCTCCTCCTCCTCCTCCTCCTCCTCCTCCTCCTCCTCCTCCTCCTCCTCCTCCTCCTCCTCCTCCTCCTCCTCCTCCTCCTCCCGTCGGTCGGGGCCGCTCGGGCGGGGACGAGCGCCGCCCTTGGGTCGGCGCGCGCGATGGCCGGCGACGGCGGGGGCCCCCGCGTTCGGAGCTGATGCACGCGGTGATGGGAGGTGGCTCGGAGTTGCCGTGCGGTGGGCGCTGGTGCGGTTGCTGCGGTGCGGCCACCTGGGCGCCCCCTCCCGTGCTGGGCATCATTCTGCACCTGTGGGCCGTGCAGACCCTGGAGACGTCGGTGCCAGTCTTGGGGTTGTCCGCGGCAGAAGGCGCGCGGCGGGGGCAGCAGCTCAGCTGAGCGGAAGATCGGGACAAATCGGAACCAGAGATTCTGGGAGAGTTCCAGAGAAAAATAGAACGCCGATTTGTGGAGCGTAGCGCGCGCATTCGCAGAAGTTCCCAAAGAGTGTTCGAGGGCTTGAGGAGCCCAAGTGACACATGGGCGCTCAATTAAACTGTTGAGGGCGGGCAGAAAATCTGGTGTGCACGAGCATTGTGAGCGGGTGCGCGGCTTGCACGGGGGGCACAGTAGGTTTGCGTTTCAGGGACTTGGGCGCTGGCCAATGCGCTGATGGGGGGCCCGAGAATGCGTCGCACATGTTACGCCTGTGGCGCCATGGAGGCCGCATTTGCGGTTGCAGTTGGGCGGGCGCCCCGCCGCGCGCACCGTGTCGACAGCTCTCTTGGGCGCCCGCCCGCCGCCGTGGACGTAGTGGACCCAGCTAGTCTCTCGGTCGGCGCGCGGCGGGTCGGCAGCCACGACGCTGGCGGCCTGAAAATGCTTCGAAAGTGTTTCTCCCCGAGCCTGGGGGTATTGTACGTTTTCGGTGGCACGCGCAGCTCGGAGAAAAATCGCCTTGTCCGTCGGCGGCCAGTTGGCTGTCGTCGCGCAGAAGTACCGGCGGATGGCGCGGTCCACGCTCAGCGCAGAGAGCGTGTCCATGAGCGTGGACTCGTCGAGGGGCAGGAGGAAGGACCTCGCGGTCGGGACCATCGCGGCCCGCGATGCCCACGGCCCCCACCCTGGGCGCGCGAGGACCTGCTGGGCGCCGCCGCAGCGCGATCTCAGAGGATCTCGGAACCAGAAATCCGGGCGCGCCAAATTTCGCGGGCCGAAAAACTCTCAGAGAGTTTCGGCCAGCTCCGAGGTTTTGGGTTTATGGGAATGTTTCACGCGGGGTGGGCAGTTCAGAGATTTTCAGAGATTCTCAGAGAAGTTCGGACGCGAGAATTTGGCGCGCCCCGGTTTCTGGTTCTGTGAATCTCTGAAAAGCGGTTCCTTAGGTTTTACCGGGTCTCCAGGCGTCCTACTGTCAGCCAGAGACGAGCGACTGGCTGGCGCCGCGCCCGATGCTTCCGGAGTTGCGAACTCGGTCTTCGATTCCCTGGGGCCCGCGGGCCCCTGGGCCAATTGCGAGGTTGCCGAGGCCCCCAGGCGGTTGCGCGCGATTGTCTCGGAAACCGGAGTTGGGCATCCATGGTGGACGCCCGCGCGCACGCGCTAGGTGTCCGCGAGATTGTTCGGTGGCGGATCTTGCATGGCGCGGGGATTTTCCAAAGACTTTCCGGGGTGTTCTCTACGGTTATTTCGGCGCGCTTCAGGAACCGCGGGGCGGCGCGGGGAAGTCGCCTGGCCGCGCGCATGACTTTTTCCAATGCCGTCTTGGGCATTATCGCGGCGTTGCTTGGCCGAAGAGGTCATTGAGTAACGCGATGTTTGACATTTTCGTGTTTTTTCGTTGCGTTGGTTGCGTGATTGTTTCGGCGGTCCGCCTCCTTGGGGCCCCCTTTGGGCCTCAAGTTTGTTTTGTTGACGTCGGGCCTTCTGGAGTGAAAGGCGCTTGGCGCTGAATTCCCTCGGTCGTGCGCGTGGCCAAATACGCGCCGTGGCTTCATCCGCGCCGGGGCGCTTTTCTTCCCTCACGAAGCCGATGGCGCCCAAGGCGTGGCAGGCCCGTTCGGCGGCGCCCCCGGTGATTTGAAAAACCGAGCATGATTTTTATCCCGGTCAAATTTTGCCCCGATCCCGGCTTCATCTTAGCAGCTGCTCGAGCTGGTGCCTCGTGGGCCGCCTGCGGAATACGTCGAGGCGGTGCAAGAGGCCGAGGCCGTGTCCACCGTGGCGGCGCCTGAGGGAGGCCGCTCTGGTGCGCCGCTCAAGCAGAAGGACGCGGACGAGAAGGAGTGGAAGGTGGTGACGGTCAAGGTCGGCGAGGCGAGCGCTGGGCCGCTGGGTTGGCCGAGCGGCTCGAGGCCGAGCGTCGAGCAGCCGCAGCTGGCACGCTGCAGCGCTGGGCGCGCGGCTTGCTGGGGCGTCGCGCGGCCGCAGCGGCGCGGGAGGCTCGCGGCGCGGCCGTGGCCGGTTGCGCTGGGCCTGCCGCGATGGCCTCGCCGGCCGCGGAGGCCCAGCCCGCGGTGCAAGGGAGGCGCGGCAGGAAGGCTAAGGAGGACGTGAAGGGCGACGACGCCCTGCTCGACGACGCGATCCTCCTCGCCGCGCGCGAGGCCCACGAGTGTTGGCACGCGCCGCGGCGGGCGCCCTCGTGGGCGTGGTGCGCGCGGCGATCGTCCCGTTCGTCGTGGCGATCACGGCGGCGTTCGGCGCGGGCACGGCGAGGTCTGCGCTCTGCAGGCTCGAGGCGGCGGCCCGCGTGGCGATGGGTGGCCTGGGCAGCCCCAGGGAGGTCGCCCCGGCCTCGCGGGGCGAGTGGGTGGTGTGGTTCCTGGACGGCGAGTGCGTCGACAACACGCGCGACTGGGCGACAGTCGTCGGGCAGGTCGAGGACGAGCTCGGCAGCAAGGGCACCGGCTGAGCGCGGGCGTGCGCTCCTTGGACGGCATGGGCACGTCCTACTGGAAGGTCGACCTCCTCGCGGTCGGGGGCCCTGCCTTCGGGCGGGCCCCTTGGCCAGGGGCCCTGGCCACGCGGGCCAGGACCCCTGTCGGCGGGGTCCCTCGGGAGCCCCCTGGCGGGAGCGGGCGCGGCACGACGCGTCCCTTCCGACTCGCGTCCCTCCTCCTCCTCCTCCTCCTTCTCCTCCTCCTCCTTCTCCTCATCATCCTCATCCTTCGCCAGCTCCTTTTCCTCCTCATCCTTCTCCGACTCCTCCTTCTCGCCCTTGTCATGATCCACCTCCTCTTTCTCATGCTTCACCTCCTCCTTCTCCTCCCCCTCCTCCTCTTCTTTCTCCTTGTCTTTATGGTTTTTGTGCTTACTCGCATTTGTAGTATTATTGTTGGTATGCACCTTTTCCCCCTCCTCCTCCTCCTCCTTCTTCACCTTCTGCCTCCTCGCCTCTTCTCCTTAAAAACGGCATGCACATAAGCAGAAACACGCAAGAACGAACGGCCATCCTCGATGCATCCGCCTCATTCTCCATACTCCTCTTCCTCCCTCCTCCTGCTCCCCCTCCTCTGCCGCCTCCTCCTCCGCCTTCTCCTCCTCCTCCTTCTCCTCATCCTCCTCTTCTTCCTACTCCAGGATCGTGCAGCCACTTGCCTTTACGACCGTGCGCTGCCGGCGCTGCCCTAGCAGCTGCCCTCCTTGAGGAGTCTGGCCGAAGCCTGGGTCGGTGTCGTGCCGTGCCGAGTCAGCCGCAGACGTGAGCGTCCGTGCACTAGCCTTTCTCCTTCACCAACCTCCTCATTGCTCAACTTCTTCTCTCTCTCTCTCTTTGTTTCTCATTTTTTCCCATTTCCTCGTCCTCCACGTCCTGTTCTTCTTCCTCAACTTCCTTCACCGGCTTCTTCCTCTGCAATCCTTTACCCCCCTTCCTCTCCTTACTCCTTTACCTCATCTTCGTCAGCTGGAACGGCTCGTGTTACGATGCGCTGTGCCTGTGGCGCATCATCCCCCCGCCGCCCCCGCCGCCCCCGTCTCCCCCGCGATCGCGCGAGGACGACGGCGGCGGCGACGACAACGAGGACCCCCAGCAGGCAGCCTCGGGTTGAGACCAGATGAAAGGAAGCGAAGAGGGATGAGGTCGACTAGACGTAAGAGTGACCCTTCGCCGGAGTGACCTTTGGTGCGGGCACAATGGGGTTCCCCGATCGCCGAACGCGATGCGATATTAGCTCCCTGCGCGCCTGTGCTTGGTCCCCCCGCTGACCCCAAAAAGCCGCGCACCAAAGGTCACTCTTACCCAGGGTCACTCTTGCGTGTAGCCGAAGGCGGCACAACGGAGGAGGGCCGAGGATGAGGACGACGGGGAGGATGCGGACCCCAGCGGCTGTCCTGCTTAGGCCTGGGGACCGAGGCGGCGCGTGGAGGAGGCGGGGCCCCGGGGCGGCAGGAGGAGGAAACGGAGCAGCACGAGGAGGAGGAATCGGGGGAGGGGGGGGGGGGCGTGGGGCGGGCGTGGGTGCAGGGGAAGGGACCCAGACATTCGGCTGCTCAAATTTTTTTGGTGCGTGGGCCCAGGAGGTCTGGACCACTTCCCTGGGACCGGTTTTTCGTCCTGAGTTGTTTCTGACGCTCCCGAGGCCTGGCGAGGGTTCCCGGATACCGAAAACTGGCAAAAACCGCCCGCTACAATTTTTTTTTAGCGTCGGATCTCAGGGGAAAGAGGGTGGTGAGTATGAGGGGCATGCGAAGTTGGAGGTGGGGGATGGTGAGGCGATCTGGGGATGGGGGAGAGGGGGTAACACTGTAAGGTGAATGTGAGCAATCATGATCTTTTGGACGGGTTTCGGATTGTGTCTGTCGTGACATTGGCTTTGGGGTGCTTTAGGAGGTGGAGGACGAGTATGGGGATGATCAGGAGCAGGAGCAGGAGCATGAAGGGCTGGCGACGAGGAGGGAGAGGAAGAGGAGGTGGAGGGGGAGGGGGAGGGGATGAGGCTGAGAAGGGGTACAAGGATGACGAGGAGGAGAAGCGCAGAGGAGATGGGAGACGAGGAGGAGAAAGAAGCGGAGGAGGAAGATGCGAAGGAGGTGAAAGATGCGGATGGAGAAAGGCGAGGCGCAAAGGGGGGAGTTGGAGTAGAAGAGAGGATAAGTAGAAGGTGTATGAGGCTGACAAGGAGGATGCGGAACAAGAGGGGGTGGAAAGGGGGTGGAAATGGAATGTGAGGCGTGGGGTTGGCCTGACATGTTAATGGTGTACTGCAGAGCGCACAGTAGCAAGGGTCACAGAGTTCGTGTGGCATTGGTGATGTCGCTCTCATTCTTGTCGCTTCGAACCTGCACAGCTGGCGGTTATGGTAGCTGCAGGGGCCTGCTGGCGAGTAATTGGGGGCCTCATGATGGTCGCGACATTTCAATTTGCCCCGTGGTGCGTCGCTTATGTTCCTTGCTGTTGCTACCTCCTTCATGATCCGTTTACTGAGCTCATCTTTATCCAGATGTCTACGGCAAGTCCCGCCACCGTGCCAGCACAACCCTCCTGGGTGGCGACCTGTTAGCGTGTGACACCTCGGTTTCCAAGGCTTGGGAGAGCCGTGAAAAAAGTGGCACGCTCTTCCGCGTCGTGTCGGGGTGTCTCTCTTCGTGTTCGTCGTCGTCCTCGTTCTTCTTCACCCCTCTCTTGGGCCACTTCGGGGCGTATTTGGGCCTCTCGGGCCTTTGGGTGTTCCTTGGGACGTCGAAGGACGCCATTGGGCAGCCAGGTGCCTTCGGAGTCCGTCTTGGCAACCTCTCCGGGCCGTCTTGGGGCCCTCTTGAAATCCTGACGGGTCGTCCTGGGTGTCTATCGGGCCGAATTGGGGCCTTCTTTGGGCGTCGTGGGGCCGCCTTGGAGGCCTGAGCCTCTTGGGTCTTGGGCCATCGTGGGGCAATCTTCGAGGTCTCTCGAGCCGTCTTGGGCTGACCGAAGCCCGAAGAAGGGAGAACACGAACTGGATCCAATCGCCGATGGAAGGGCAATGCTTGTGACCTCTTCGGATCTTCCTGAGCCCTCTTGGACCGTCCTGGGGGCCTGACGGGCCGTCTGGATGCCACCTTGGGCCGTCCTGCGTCTTGAGCCACCCCAGGGCTGAACCTAAGCGGTGTTTGTGCCATCTCGTGGGCCGCTTTGTTTTTCGTTTGGTTCTGCGTTCCAGGCGAAGCGAAGGCAACACGAGGGAGAACGAAGAACAGCCCGAAAACGAAAAACACCGTTAGGTTCAGCCTTGAGCCGCCCCGGGGCCGTCGTTGGGGCATCCGGGGGCCCTCCTTCTGTGCGGCCCCGGTCCCGGTCCCGGCGGCCTGCCTGGGGGCCGCCTTGGAAGCCGCCGGGGAGGCCTGGAGAGCGCCAGGGAGGCGTCAGAGCGCGCAGGAGGCCCCGGGCTGGAGGGGAGCGGAGGGGGGGGAGGTGTGGGGCGGAGGAGGGTGCCCTGAGATCCTGGCGACTCAATTTTTTCGAGGCGGGCGTTTTCGCCCCATGTCGGGCCCCGGGGACCCTCACAGATCGATCCGGCTCGAAGCGTGACGCAGAAAAATGGGGTCCAAGGGTCCGGTCGTGATTTTTTGCGATGTTGCATTTTTGTTCCAACGTCGGATCTCAGGGTGAGCAACCAAAGAAGGACCCGGAACCCTCTGGAAGGGGATCTAAGTTAGGAGGGCCAGAAACATTAGGGACAGGGTTTTTTTTCTGCAGATGTATCGCCAGAGAGGCGTCAGAGCGCGCAGGAAACCCCAGTTGGGCGGAGGAGGGTGAGTGGCCAACAAAACAACCCTAACCCTCCGGGAGGGGGCCTGAGTTAGGAGGGCCAAATCTATTAGGGATAGGGGGTCTTTTTGTCTGCAGATGCATCGAACCAAATCGACCATATTCATTATCCCGAAAGCAAAGACGGGGACCTCCGTGAGGCCACGCATTCATCGCGTTATTAGGGTTAGGTGTTCATTTCTTGTCGATGCGAGGGGGGGAAGGGGGGTCGGGGGGGGCGGGTGCACGCGGCAGTCTGTGACTGGGATGAGGGGGGGGGCCTTAGAAGACCACGGGAGCCACATATGCATGCGCCTCGCTGTGCGAGCCCAGAGTTTTTTTTGGGGGGGGGGTATTTTTGGGCCTGGCAAGCCGTGTGTGGCTGCGTGCGACTGGCAGCCAGACTGGAGAGATGCGCTGTTTCGCGAGTTCCCTGACCTCCTCTTGTTCCCCCCCCTCCCAGCAAGACTGCGCTGGAAAAAAGATGGCCAGGGGAACCCTACGGGGCAGCACCGGGCCTTCGTCCACGCCTCCGCGTGCCACAGCGGGGGCGCGGTGGCGGATGCCGGGCCGGCGCCGCGTCCGCCGCTCTGCCCGTCGAGCATCGGGCCCTCGTCCGCGCTTGCGTCCTCTCTTGCGCTCTCACTCTCTCTCTCCCTCGCCTGCTGGTGCTGCCGTCGGCCCTCTGCCCTCTCGTCCTTCCTCGCCTCCTTGGTCGAGCTCGGCAGGCGAGGGTCCACGTGAGCTGTGCACCCATCAGATGTGCCAAGAAAAGCGGCGTCCAGATCAGAGTTTGAGTTTTCTTCGCAGGCGTGAGGAACTCTGGACTCCAGCGTGGACTTTGAAGACGTTCGTAAATCTGTGGTGCCGTCTCTTCCTCCACAGGGCAGACCTGGACCACTGGATCAGAGAAGGAGACTTGCAGAGTCTGTTTTCTTAGGCCGATGTCATCTTGATACGAAGTTCTGGTGTACTGATACGGTGGGGGCGTACGTTCAGCCATGTGCCCAAAAGGCTCCAGAGCCTGGAGTACTCCTTGTCCTTGGCGACTGGAGTTCCACCGGCTTGCAGACCTTGGGTTCCTTTTCCAATGGTTCAGTATCCAATGTCCTTACCGCCGCTCTCCTCCCTTGCCGTCCTTTCCAATCCGTGTTGCGTCCGCCGCTCCTCCGCTGCCGCCTGCTGCTCCTGCTGCTCCTCTTCCTCCTCGATCCCCCCCCCTGGCCAAACAAGCCGCACCGGAGGAGGAAGAGGAAGAGAAGGAGAAGGAGGAGGAGGAGGAGGAGGAGAAGGAGGAGGAGGAGGAGGAGGAGGAGGAATCGCAGGAGCAGGAGCAGGAGGTGGGGCTGGAGGAGAGAGAATGAGGACGGGGGCCTGGGCTGCGTTTGACAGACCCTTCAGCCACCAGCAATTAGAGGGAGGAGGAGGAGGAGGAGGAGGAGGAGGAGGAGGAGGAGGAGAGGAGGAGGGAGGAGGAGGAGGAGAGAGGGAAGGAGGAGGAGGAGCAGGAGGAGGAGGAGGAGGAGGAGAGAGGAGGAGGAGGAGGAGGGGAGGAGGGAGGGTGGGGGAGAGGGAGGAGGGGAAGAGAGAGAAGAGAGATGAAGAGAAGGGGAGGAGGAGGGAGGAGGAGGAAAGGAGGAGGAGGAAGAGGAGGGGAAAGGAGGAGGAGGAGAGGAGGAGGAGGAGGAGGAGGAGGAGGAGGAGGAGAGGAGGAGGGAGGAGGAGGAGGAGACTAGGAGAGGACGGGACGGGGACGAGCAGGAGGAGGAGGAGGAGGAGGAGGAGGAGGACGGGGATGCAGCAGGAAGTCGCGGACGAAGAGCTCATTCTCTCCCCGCCCATCCCGCCATCCTCTTGCCGCCGCGCCGGCCGAGAGGCACCAGAGCAAGGACGAGCACTGCAAGGGCGGCCAGGACGGCAGCAGGAAGAAGTTCTGGAAGAGGCGTGCTCGGGGCCCTGGGCGCGCAGGGGGGGCAGGTGAGGAGCAGGTACACATACCGCTGCCCTCGCCCTGTTTTCGGCTTTTGGGCCTCCTGGGAGCCCTCGTCGCCACCGTTGGATTCGCCCCAAGCTCTGGCCAGAGCGCGCCCTGGGGTACGTAGGTCTGGGGAGTAGCGGTATCGGTACCGCTTGGTTTCCCAGGGGGGGAGGGGGCAGGAGAAGGGCGGGGAGGACGGAGGGAGGGAGGAAGAGGGAGGCATTCCACGGCTGTCTGCCATCACGTAGTGATGAAAAGGATCGATCGAGCTCGGCGCGTCGGGGATGAATCTCGGGGGATCCATGGTCGAGGTCCTCGCTCCGACCGAGCCCCGGGGACAGGCGAAGTGTGTGGCACAAGGCTTGCTCAGACCCCCTCGAGAGCCGGATCCGACTGAGACAGGAGGCATGGCAGTGCCGCAGAAGCAAGCCCCTCGAGGGGGCGACATGCGCGAATGGGGGAAGGGGGGGGTCTTTAGGGAGCATCACCTCGGAAAGCAGAAAAAAAGGAGCGTAGGGGGGCATGGAGCCGGCAGCAGCGGGAGCACGGGGGGAGCAACGCGGGGCGCAATGTCGGGCAGGCGAGCGAGCTCCACCCGAGAAGGGCGGCGAGGCGGCACAACCCGCGCACACACACACACACACACACACACACACACACACACACACACACACACACACACACACACAACACTTAACACACAACACACACACACACCACACACACACAGACACACACACACACACACACACACCCACGGAGGCAGACGCACGCACGCCACGCACGCCGCACGCACGCAAACGCGCACTCACGCACGCACGCACACACACACACACACACACACACACACACACACGCACAACAACACACCGTCACACACACATACACACATACTTCATGCAGTCCTACCCCCTCGCCCGTGTCGTCAGTCTTGCCCTTCTCGTCCCCAGGATTCTCGTCTCATGCTCGCCGCTGTCCACTTTTCCCGCGGCATCCTCGCTCGTGCTCTCCTCCCCCAGGTCGTTTTTCCTCGGCCTCCTCCTTCCGCCCATCCCAACCCCCTGCTCCTCCTCCTCCTGCTCCTTCTCCTCCTCCTCCTCATGCTCCTGCTCCTCCTCCTCCTCCTCCTCCTCCTCGTTGCCTCGTTGCCTCCTCGGGACGGGCCCCCCAGAGGGAACCCCGCCATGATCCAGAGGTCCTCGCCACGGCTCACCCCGGCGCGATGGGGCATCCCATCACCAGTGGAGCGGGGCCCAGCCCACGCGCCCACCCCTTCTCCTCCGCCTCCTCCTCCTTCTCCTCCTCTTCTGCTCCTGCTATCCTGCTCCTACTGCCTCCTTCCTCCTCCTCCTCCTCCTCCTCCTCCTCCTCCTCCTCCTCCTCCTCCTCCTCCTCCTCCTCCCCCTCCTGCTCCTGCTCCTGCTCCTGCTCTTCCACCCCCTCCGCAAACGCCCGTGGTTGGCCTCGCTGTGCGCTGTCGGGGTAAACCTTTTTGGAGGGCGCGGATGTCATTATCTCGTTTGCTGTTTTTCTCTGCCCTCTCTTCCCAGATCGTCTTCTTTCCCTTGTCCGCCCTTCCCTTAATGGTCAGTGTCGTTGCTCTGTCCATCCTCCTCCTCCTTCTCATCATCATCATCATCAGCATCAGCAGCATCCTCATCATCATCCTCATCATAATCACCACCATCATCATCATCGTCATCATCAGCATCATCAGCATCATCAGCATCATCAGCATCATCAGCATCACCATCACCATCACTATCACGATCACATCAGCATCATCATCACCACCACTACCCCTATAATCATCATGATCAGCATCAGCATCATCAGCATCATCATCAGCACCATCATCAACATCAGCATCGCCGTCAGCATCATCATCAGCATCATCATGGCCACTTTGGCTCGAGCACGTGCCCCCATGGCTTCATGGGCGCACCTGCGCCCCCCTGGCTTCCCGCGTCCCGCATGGCTGTTTCGGCCCCGCTGATCTGGGTTCGCCTTCTCGTGCTCCTCCTCCTGCTCCTCGTCCTCCTCGTCCTCGTCCTCCTCCTCCTCGTGCTCCTCCTCCTCCTCGTCCTCGTCCTCCTCCTCCTCCTCCTCCTCCTCCTCCTCCTCCTCCTCCTCGTCCTCGTCGGGAGGAGGAGGAGGAGGAGGAGGAGGAGGAGGAGTTTGCTTGCACCGCTTTGCGAGCGGTGCTGCGATGCAGGGCCGGTTCAAGCTCAAGCTGATCTTCGACGCTTCCTCTCCGTCGTTCCCTCTTTTTTTCGGGTGACAGCCCTGGCTTTATTGGATCACGTAGGCCGCGTCGTGACCTTGCACTCGGTGGTGGGCAGCGGGCACCGCCACTCGAATGGCGAGCACGAGATCTGCTTGTGGCTCTCCCCACGGCGGGCAAGTACAGCATGTTGATGAAGACGCAGGTAGTGACAATGACTCTGATGGCGATGCCAGCTGCCTCTGACGGTGATGGTGCAAACGGCTTGTCTGCACTCTCGGGATAGATTCGTCCAACTTGCTGCTCATCCTGGGACTCGTCGTCATCTTTGTGACGGTGGTCGTGGTGCAGCTGAAGGCGGTGAGGCGCCGCTCTGGGCGGGTATCTTCCCTTGTTGGCTGCCTTCTGTGCCCTGTCCTCTCGTCCTGTCGCCTCCCCTTTCTTCCTTCTGCCCCTCTCGTTGTCGTCTCTGCACTTTGGGTCGTCGTTTCGCACCCCTCGGCCTCTTTCTCTCCTATTCTCTTTTCCCCTGTCCCGTCGTCGCCCTCTGCTCCGCAAAAGAATCATCATCATCCTCATCACCCCCATTACCATCACCATCACCATTATCATAGTCATCGTCATCGTTTGCGCCCGTAGCCGCGAACTGTGCTCCGCCGATTGCTGCTCATCATTCTGCACCTCCTTCTTCTCATCCACTCCTGTCCCTGCCCTCGTCGTCGTCTGGTAACCGAAGGCTCTTGGGCAGCGTCATTGACATCGTCTACTCGGTGATCTCCGGAGGCTTGGTTCGCAGAGGACGACCCGCGCGCCGAGCCCGTCCTCTGCCGAGACCGCCCTCCAGACTGTTCCACCGATGTTGCCATCCTCCGATATACATGCTCCTCTCTCCAGACGCAGTGTCCTCTTCCAATCCGGCGAGGCTACCCCCCTGTCATCTACTCGGGCAGCTTCGCCAGCGTGGAAGTGGTGCGCCCCCCCCCCCTCCTCCTCCTCCTCCTCTCCTCCTCCTCCTCCTCCTCCTCTCCCTAATCCCCCTCGTTCTTCTCATTAATCCTCCTCGCAGCATTATCCTTCCTCCTCCTCGTCCTCCTCCTGCCTCCTCCTGCGTCCCGTTATGGTGGAGGTGTGACCACGCGCTGCACCGCTTCCCCCAGCGGCTTGGGCGCGCGGCGGGGCCCGCCTGACCCGGAGGGGTCTGTCGCGGGGGGCCGTCCGGACGCAGAACAGTCCTCCTTCCTGCTCCCTTGCCTCCCGCATTCATCTTTTTCCCAGGGGGGGGGGGGGTCCTCGACCTCCTCCCCCGCCCATCCTCCCTCATTGTGGTCCTCCTCCCCCCACATTTTCCTCGTCGTCGTCCTCCTCCTTCTCCTCCTCCGCCCTCCCTCCCTCCCTCCCTCCCTCCGTCCCACGAGGTTCAAGCTGAACCCAGACGTCGCAGGGATTTGGCCACCGATCCCCACCCTCACATAGCAAGCGAATGCACAAGCCGTTTCTCCCAAGTTACTCCAACATGAGGCGTTTAGAATCCTGTCCTTAGGATTCGCAACACGGTGTCCAACCCTGCTAGAGTCCAACCATGACCTGCATCATACAACTTCCCTAGCAATTATCATTACACTAGCGTTCATCTCGCAACATCGGAGCCAAGCGGATTATTGTTTTCTCTCGTGGAGGCTGTGAAGGCCCATCTTCTGGTCGGATGGGCTTTCACATTGGGCGCATGCACTTGCTGGGTGCATGGTTCGCTTGTAAGTTGAGTGCTGAGCTGGTTCCCGCTTCACCTGATGACATGTTGCTCTCATCGGGGGTGAGTTGTATCATGTAGATGCGCAGCTTGAAGCACGTGAGCAGTCCCATGTTTCACGTGGCCCTCTGGGCATGTATTTGGATTGTGGGGTGGGGGGATGGGCTCTGACTAGCAGCAAGTGGCCCCCCGACGCCACAACTTCCCCATGTCGGCCCTCCACCCTGATCGTCTGATTACTGGTATGTTCCATCAGGGCCCCCGGCATGAGCGGTCTCGGCGCAGGACTGTTGGGGTTTCACGCACATGCCTCTGCAAGCTCTCTGTTCGCAGACCGCCTGCCGCGGGTGGGTCGCCAGACCCACCAAGGCAGCCGTTTACCCCCCCCCCCTCCCCGCGTCGCGTGGGTGACCATGCCGTTCGTTACAGGATTCTCCTGGGACAAACAATGACATAACACACAACAGCTCGGAGGTCCGAGCGGATTCCTCGGACCAGCGCTGGGGACCACTGGCGGCGCCTCTGGGGTCCAGCGCCGATTTGAGAAATCCGCGCGGATCGCCGAGTTGTTATGTTTATGGCATTGTTTGTTCCCCGATACGTCTCCTATCTCCTCCGCTTCTTTACTTAGCACTACCTCACTTGTAAAGTGAGGTCACGAGCTTATCTCCTGGAGTTCGTGCCGTTCGACTTGTCCTGGCCTCAATATTTTGGCCCATCTCGGCACACATTCGTAAAGCTCCGGCTGCAACCAAAAGCAACTCTCTCCTCCACTTCCCTGCCGCGCTCTTCCCTGATCCCTCCCTCTAACTTCTTCGTGTCTCCTCCCTTGCGAGCTGGAAACAAGTGGCGTCCGCACGTGAGGGTGACAATTGTGTTTTGTTCCATGTATGATGCAACCGTCTTCGATGCCAACATCGGGGGATCCCCTGCTTTGCCCAGTACTCGGTGTGGGCGTTGGATGCAAATACTTGCCAGGACACGGAAGCTTTCGACATGCTCCGCACATTTCAAATGTGTTGTGTTTCACAGTGTTTCTGTGAACTTCCCGTGCCGGGTATGATCCTTATGTTTCACCAATTGTTCTTCAAGAGCCAGATTGGTTGTGGGCGTTGAGTTGCCCACGTAGGTGCTTCAGCTTGATGTAGGCATTTGCTGCAGGGCTGGTCGGAATTCGCACGCCGTGTCAGTGTCAGCTGCAGCCCGACGACGACGACCCCTGGAGGTCTCCCGAGGCCTCCAGGGGTCGCCTGCAAGCCCCCATCAGCTCTCCGGAAGCTTCCAGAGGTCTCCCGAGGCTCCGCAGGGTTGAAGAGCCTCGAGCCTCGATCCTCGACCCTCGATCCTCGACCCTCGAGCCTCGATCCTCGAGCCTCGAGCCTCGATCCTCGAGCCTCGAGCCTCGATCCTCGATCCTCGAGCCTCGATCCTCGAGCCTCGATCCTTTGAGCTCCCGAGGCTCCCCATCCACGAGCGCCTCGACCCTCGAAGCCCCGCCAGCGGCACAGAGCGGCTCTGCGGGCCGATGAGCGACGTACGCCTGCGCCGGCAGTCGAGAATGCAGAGGGAACAGAAGCACACAGACACGAGTCACCGTCGATTCCCCAGAACATATGGGAAAATGACGCTAGTGGGGGGGGGGGAGTATAGGAAACATGGGAAAAGAGTGGAAGACAAAGGCCAAGGAACATACGGGAACATATGGGGAATCCTGTTATGTCTTGTCTATTGACTTGTGCGTCCCAGGACCCCTTCAGAGAAGCCTTGTGACCTCTTCGTTCTGGCCCGGCTCACACCCGCGCAACGGCGCGGGGCCCGCGCGAAGCACATAATTACTGCCCGGGGACGTGCCCAGCACGTCTGCTGCGGGTGGCAGTGCGGGCGGGAGCCCTCCAGGACGGAGGAGCACACGGAAGGCCGTGGGGTCTTCTTCTCGTGGAGGTGCCAGTATCTATCGGGGGCGGCAAAGAGGGGGGTGATGGCTAGGGGGGGGTGGATATCATAGCGGGGGCCATGATGTTTCCCCAAATTCCATGGCGCCCCTTCTTATTTCATTACGTCCCTGGCCCCCCCGCTGGGCCGCGCACATGCCGCCGGTCATGATTTGCACCCCCTCTCTTGGACACCCCCCTCTTGGCCGCTCCCGACCAGTATCTAGGGCTCCTAGATGGGGTCGGAGTACAGGGGTCGAAGGATAGCGCCGCATCGCCGATGCATCGCCGATGGGGCTCGACTTGGGGCCCGATCCGCTTCACGTCGACGTCGCCGATGCACCGCCGACGTCGACGGTGCAACAACGGTGCATCACCGATGCATCGCCGATGCATCGCCGATGTAGCGGCGATGCGGTGCGATCCTCCGACCCCATCTACTCCCTGACCCCATCTGGGAGGCCTCTACATTAGGAACCCAGTAGTTGCACACCCAACGGCACTTAGTTATGCGAGGCGGCACGGAGTCGGAAGGGGGACGACAGAAGGACGACCCCGAAGGGGAGGAGAAAGAGGTGGAGACAGAGCAACAGCATATGAGGGGTGTGAGCAGCAAGAGACGGGCACCATCACAAGGAGGAGAGATAATTGCGTAGAGGGCGCGGAGGGAACATCATTCGCTCGGTGGCGACTAGTGCTTTGGCACCCACCCACCCCTTGCAGCAACGATGTTGGCTTGATGCTTGCAGCCTATGCTTGATGCTTGCAGCCAACACCGTGGCCTCAATCTGCGCCGTTCAGTGTGGGAGTGTCGAAAACATGAAGTCGCGTGCGTTAGACGCGTAGCAAGCCACATAAGTGCGCTGGCACACGCGTTGGCGGCTTAGTTATCCGCTCAGTCACGCAGGAGCTTCCTGAGGCCGAGCTTCCGTGCCAGCCACTCTGCGTTTTGCTTCCCACATTGGTCTGTGGGGGGTCTTTTCCACCCAATCAACCAGGAAAGGCAGATCTAGAAGTCCGCTGCCCCTCAGGAGGGCTATCCCAATCGCGCGACCTACGGACAAACGAGCTCGCGTTCGGGGGTGCATTGGCACTGCACGCGGCACTCGGGCTTCTGCCAGTGCTTCGAAGCAGAAACGCCTGGCAGGTGCGCGCCACACGCTCTCGGAACGCCGCCGCATGTCTCGCAGAGGTGCTGGTCCACCAGCTGCCGGGCATGCAGGATCGTGAGCGCACTGGTTCTAAGGATCTCTAGGCTGGCCACGCTTCCGAGGCCCGCGCGGGCGGGCCAACGTAAATCCTCCCGGCGTGAGAACACAGCGCCTCGCTGCACTTCCATCCAGTTGCCGGGCAGCGTCTCCCATCATGGCCAGTTGTCCTTACGCCGGCAGGGAACACAGCTTTTTGCAGCCGCTGGTTGCAGGCACGGAGTCGTTGGTGATATGGCAAACATGTGAATGCTCAGTGCCAGCGGTTTGTCGTGGTCGCCGTGCTTGGAAGGCGTAGAGCTTGCTATTTGCGGCCTTGCTGACGCACATTCTGTGCAAACAGTACATGAGCTTTGATACAACGCATGCTTCAAATTTCCGCACCCTTTTGGCAGGGGTATCTTGCAGTTCTTCCGAACCTTGCAGAGCGTGCTGAAGTCTGCCGCTGCCATGCCCAAGCGTCTGCTCTGCTCGGGACCACTTCCTCCGCTGGCAGCCGGGAGTCCGACCAGATAAACCCTGCTTTCCTTGCACGGCACAGTTACGCCGCCCAGTTTCTTGAGTGCGGTCTGGCACCGAGTATTTAGAGTTTCAGTTGAACGTCAGGCCGTAGTGTTTCCCTTCCTCCTGTGCTCATGCCCACGAACTCATCGCTCGTGCCCGCCACGAGCGTGCCGTCCGCGAAAACCAACTCGTTGACTGGAAGCCCTTCATCTTGTTTAAAGCCATGCCGTTTGATAGCGACGCGCGCATCAAGACGGTCACCATTGTTGAGAACAGGAGCGGGGATAAAGGGCACCCCTGTGAGATACCGTACTCTTGCAGCCACGACGTGGACATTTTCTGGCCTCTCGCACCTGGAACGGTCTATTTGCATCATTCGGTGAATTGCGCAGGGATGCCAAAACGCAGCAGAGCTTGC